GTCTCATCCCAATCCTGGATTGCCCTTCGTCCTCGAGGCTGATGCATCTGAGACGGGAGTAGGCTCTCCTGTCTCAACGTCAGTCGCCCGATGGACCCCTACTTCCCTGTGTGTTCTACTCCAGGAAGCTTTCTTCTGCAGAGTGCAACTACCAGATTGGAGATAGGGAGTTGTTGGCAATCATTCTGGCTCTCAAGGAATGGAGGCACCTGCTCGAGGGCTCCGCGGTTCCGGTCTTCATTCTTACCGATCATAAGAACCTGACTATCTTTCGGAGGCCAAGAGATTGACACCCAGTCAGGCCAGATGGGCCTTGTTCTTGTCGCGGTTCAACTATTTGGTCTCCTATTTCCTGGTTCCAAGAATGTTCAGGGGGATGCAGGGCGGGGGCAATGCGAGTTGTCGGGGCTGAAAACCGTAGCGGTTGACCTCCGGATCAGATCCAGGGGGCGGCAGGGTGGGGGGGTTGGGGGGGGGTGGGGTGGGGTGGTGGGTGTTGGGGGGGGGGTGGGGTGGGGGGGGGGGGGGCGGGGGGGGTTTGGGAGTGGGGGTGGGGGGGTGGGGTGGGGGGTTAGTGGTTGGAGGGGTGTGGTGGGGGGGGCTTGTTGGTGGGTGGGGGCTGGGTAATTTTGGAGTTGGTTTGTCTGTTTGGGGGTGGATGGGTGGGGTTTATGTTGGTGTTGGTGTTTGTGTTGGGGTTGTGGGGGTTTTGTTGGGGATTTTGGGGTGGGGTGGGGGGTTGGGGGGTTTTTGTATGTTGGGGTTGGGGGAGGGGGTTTGGGGTCTTGTTGTGGGGGTTACCCCTGACGGGTTTTTGGGGTATACGGGGTTTGATTGGGGGGTTTGTATTTGGTTTTACATAGGGGGGGATTGTTTTGGGGGGGGGGGTTTGTTTGTGTGTGTTTTGTTGGTTGTAATTTTTGTTTGTTGGGTTTTGCGGGGTTGGATTTTTTTTTTTTTTTTTTTTTTTTTTTTGGTTTGGGGGTTTTTTTTTTGTTTTTTTGTTTTTTTTTTTTTTTTGTTTTTTGTTTTTTTTTTTTTTTTTGTTTTGGGGGGTGTGTTTTTTTTGTTTTTTTGTTTTTTTTTTTATTTTTGTTTTGTTTTGTGTTGGTTTTTTTTTTTTTTTTTTTTGTTTTTTGTTTTTTTTTTTGGTTTTTTTGTGTTTTTTTTTTTTTTTTTGTTTTTTTGTTTTTTTTTTTTAGTTTTTTTTTTTTTTTTTTTTTTTTTTTTTTTTTTTTTTTTTTTTTTTCTTTTTCACCCCCCCCCCACCCACCCCCCCCCCCACCCCCCCCCCCCCTCCCACCCCCGTGCATTTCTCTCTGAAATTCTGAGGGAAAATGGGTCGTTCCAGACATTGTTGTTCAAAAGACAGCATACCTTGGTTTAAAAGTTGATTGGAGAGGGGAAAAAACATATAAAGTGCAGAAAAATGATAGGCTGCTCAGCTAAAATGATCGCAAATGCTTTAAAATGGCAACCAAAACCTGAAAGACGTGGAAGAAAGCGAAAAAAACTACCATTCGAATGGATAGAAGAATAACCAAAATGGCAAGGACTCAGCCAACAATCAGATCCAGGAAGGTCAAAGAAGATCTAAAGTTACCTGTGAGTACTGTTACAATTAGAAGACGCCTATGTGTAGCCAAGCTATCTGCAAGAAGCCCCCGCAAAGTCCCACTGTTTGGAAAAAAAAAAAAAGACGACGTGCTGAAGAGGTTACAATTTGCCAAAGAGCACATTGACTGGCCTAAAAGAGAAATGGCGCAACATTTTTGTGGACTGATGAAAGTAAGATTGTTCTTTTTGGGATCTAGTAGGCGGAGACAGTTTGTCAGACGACCCCCAAACACTGAATTCAAGCCACAGTACACTGTGAAGACCGTGAAGCATGGTTGTGCAAGCATCATGATATGGGGATGTTTCTCATACTACGGTGTTGGGCCTATTTATCGCATACCAGGGATCATGAATCAGTTTGAATACATCAGAATACTTGAAGAGGTCATGCTGCCTTATGCTGAAGAGGAAATGCCCTTGAAATGGGTGTTCCAACAAGACAACGACCCCAAACACACCAGTAAAACGTGCAACATCTTGGTTCCAGACCAACAAGATTGACGTTATGGAGTGGCCAGCCCAATCCCCAGATCCTAATTCAATAGAAAACTTGTGGGGGTGACATCAAAAATGCAGTTTCTGAGGCAAAACCAAGAAATAGAGAAGAACTGTGGAATGTAGTCCAATCATCTTGGGCTGGAATACCTGTTCACAGGTGCCAGAAGTTGGTTGACTCCATGCAACACAGATGTACAGCAGTTCTCAGAAACAGTGCTTATACAACTAAATATTAATTAAGTGATTCAAAGGAAAGCAAAAATCTTCAAACATTTTTCAGTTTATATAGTGAATGTTTGAGTTTGTAAAGAAGAATACAAAACACTGCTATTTTTTTGAACAGTCTAATATTCACTTTTCTTCAATTTTTTTTTTTTAGACGAACAACACAAATTTGATATTTTTTTCTTCATGTTTTGATTTGGAATAGAATGTGTAGTGTTCCCAATACATTTGTGTGTATGGAAATAAAAGGTATTAGGATTTTGAGCTTTATTCACTTTTTTCAACACACTGCGATTATTTTGAACACAACTGTATATATATATATACTTTTTTTTCCCTTTTCACATTTTGATTTTTTTGACCCTCCGGAATTTTCTATTACTTTATTTTGGGACAGTTTCAAGAGTTGTCATTATATTCATAGTTTTTTATTATTTACTTCACGTTCACTATTGGTTGAATTGCTATACAAGGGGGTTACAATATCTTTTTGGTCTAAGCACATTTAGCCACCCACGGTCTTGTTTGATCTCGGAAGATAAGCAGGGTCAGACCTGGATGGGAGACCGCCTGGGAATACCAGGTACTGTAGGCTAAAATTTTTTGGATGGACCAAAATTGTACTAATCTTGTACTATATGAAGTTTGTTTGGGCAAATGTAGCGCCTATCTATTTAGATTTTATTAAATACATACATCAATATAGGCAGTACCCCACTGATTGTAGTAGACATGATGGGGACAGGGAGCAGTAAATTACTTGATTCATCAAGTATTTAAAGTTACTAGTAGACTCCCAGTGCTTCTTTTGCTGCAGTAACCCACCTTTTGATTAGCAATTTTGGATGATGTAGTGCAAGAGTACTCAAACGGTGGCCCTCAGAGCCCTCTGATGTGACCCTCAACTTCTAACCAGGGAAGCGCATTTCTATTATATCCTGTAGGTTTTATGTGCTTTCTGAAAGTGCAACAAAACTCCTGAATGCAGGACAAGCATAGATCTATACTCAGACAAAAAAAGTTAAAAAAAAGCAAACCCCCCAAAAGACAGACTATGGACCACTCGGTCTTTTTCTGCCATCACTTTTCTATGTTTTGGTGTATTTTCAGAAAGCGTACCACATCCGCAAGATATAAGTCTATGGCAAAGTGCAGCTAACCCGCAGTGAAATTAGCAGGTGCACTTCGCAGCACCCTTGGTGCGGGTAAAACCACAGTGCATCAGTGTGAATGCACCTTATAGGGGGCTGAGGACAGTAAGGGCTTGTATACATTTGCAGTTTGGGAGTGGTAAAACTCCCCTGTTGTAGTGACAGGGGTTCGCAATGGCAACCCCACTCTATGCTCCAGGGGGCCTGTGCAGCCTACCTGTCACATACTGTTTCACACTTGGACAGGTGGGGTGGCATATACAGGAACCGATCCTCTGTTTTCCTCCAGCAACCATTGAAAGCCGCCTTCTCCTCCTCTCCCTCCCACCAGCAGTCAGTGGCTGCAAGAGGAAAATGTTCATTATGCTATTCAAAATTCAAAATCTGATCCTATTAATTTCATTGTGGGCTGTGATTGGTCACCAAAATTACTTAACAGGCCCTCGTCTTCAAAAGGTTGAACACTCCTAATGTAGAGTGTCAATTGTGTTTAACAGCCAGTGACAAAGGCAACACCCAAGTACAGATTTGTCACATGACCAGAATACTAAATGCAAGCACATTTATGTGTGGATTTAGAATGTAGAGATACTGCTATCCTCTCTTTGTTATACTCTGCAGCATTCAATAAAATGGCCCTCATTTTGTGACCCATTCAAAAAATGCAGAGTGCATGAACTTACAGTATTTCATAAGTGTTCTTTTTGCCCAATCCAGGAGATAACTCCAGGAATAGGAGAAAGCCAATTGTGCAACTTTCACAGGTCATATAACCACCTTTTTATTTCTTATATTCTCATTCACTTTTGTTGTGTTCTCTTGGCTTTGGACTCCTGAAGCCAATTGAGCACAGCTATGTGTAAAGCCATACCACTGATTTTAAAATGGGACCTCTTAGTGAGACCAGCCACATGGTAAATACAAATATACTAAATAATAATGAATTTCATACGCATAGTCATGAAAACAAGTAAATTAAGAGGAATAATCTGTTTGAAATGAAGTTTATTATTTATGATGGAAAGAGGTTATCCACATTTGCTTACATTAGTTCAAAGACCAGTGTGGCCATGTATTTGTTAGTGCAAAATCTATACCTACCTGATCTAACACTGAATAGTAGGATGTAGATACAGAAAAACCACAGAACAGATCTTTCAAGTAGGAGAGATTTTTGGAAGTTTGAAATGCAGGCTATGGAAAGATACTGAGAAACACACTACGGATGTTTTATATTAGGAAGGAAAGACTACTAACTGGCTTTAATATATTTGACAGATTACAAATCTAGTTACATTTAAATATTTTGGTCTAAGAGCTGATAATATAAAAGCCTTTCAATGCGATCCTAATTTACAAGACAATTCTAATAAACCTTCAACGTTATATCAAATCACATAATACAAGACATACATGGCAAGTAACAAAGCTCATAACAGAAACTGTAACTGCTCTAGTATGATATCCAAGGAATGCACAGAGCTGGTTGCCTTCTTGGCTGGGGAAGTATTACTCATCATCCCCACCGCAAACCAGGAGGAGTGTATTCCTGTAGTCTCCAGATGTGTCACACTGTGGACAGAGAGAGCTATTAGACACAGACCACTGACTCAAATTCTTACCACATACTAAATATTTTTTTTTCCTTTTTTTTCTGTCTTTGTAGAAGACAATAGAAATACAAAAAAGATTTTATACATACATACACACATATATCTCTAAATAAATAATGAATATAGCGAGCCTCAGAAAACACCTATATCTCTATCACACACAGTGTCTCGAAAAAGTATTCATACCCTTTTTTTCCACATTTTGTCATGTTACAATCAAAAGAGTAACTACGTTATTGGGATTTTATGTAATAGACCAACACAAAGTGGCACATAATTGTGAAGTGGAAGGAAAATAAAAAATGGTTTTCAAAATTGTTTACAAAAAAAATCTGAAAAGCATGGCATGCGTTTGTATTCAGCCAACTTTACGTGGATACCCCTAACAGCTAGTGGAACCAATTGCCTTCAGAAGTCATCTAATTAGTAGATAGAGTCCACCTGTGAGTAATTTAATCTCTGTATAAATAAAGCTGTTCTGTGAAGCCCTGAGAGGTATATTAGAGAACATTAGTGAGCAAACAGCATGATGAAGGCCAAGGAACACGCCAGACAGGTCAGAGATAAAGTTGTAGAGAAGTTTAAAGCAGGGATAGGCTATAAAAAAAATATCCCAAGCTTTTAACATCTCATGGAGCTCTGTTCAATCCATCATCCAAAAATGGAAAGAGTATGGCACAACTGCAAACCTATCAAGACATGGATGTCCACCTAAACTGACAGGCTGGGCAAGGAGAGCATTAAAAAGAGAAGCAGCCAAGAGACCCATGGTAACTCTGGAGGAGATGCAGAGATCCACAGCTCAGGTGGGAGAATCTGTCCACAGGACAACTATTAGTAGTGCACTCCACAATTCGGTACTTTATGGAAGAGTGGCAAGAAGAAAGCCATTGTGGAAAGAAAGCCATAAGAAGTCCCATTTGCTGTGTCCCCCACATGGCTTCTCGCAAACTGTAAACGTGGAAGAAGGTATTCTGGTCAAATGAGACCAAATTTTTTCTTTTTGGCCTAAAAGCAAATCGCTGTGTGTGGCAGAAGACTAAAACTGCACATCACCCTGAACATACCATCCCCACCGTGAAAGATGGTGGTGGCAGCATCATGTTTGTGGGGATGCTTTTCTTCAGCAGGGACAGGGAAGCTGGTCAGAGTTGATGGGAAGATGGATGGAGCCAAATACAGGGCACTCTTAGAAGAAAAACTGTTAAGAGTCTGCAAAAGACTTGTCCTGCTGGAAGGTGAACCTCCACCTCAGTCTCAACAACCCTAAACATACAGCCAGAACAAAATCCAGACCTAAATCCAGTTGAGAATCTGTGGCAAGAATTGAAAACTGCTGTTCACAGACGCTCTCCATCCAATCTGACAGAGCTTGAGCTATTTTGCAAAGAAGAATGGACAAAAATTTCACTCTAGATGTGCAAAGCTGGTAGAGACATCCCCACAAAGACTTGCAGCTGTAATTGTAGCGAAAGATGGTTCTACAAAGTATCAACTCAGGGGGGCAGAATACCATACCATGCCACACTTTTCAGATTTGTGTTGTAAAATATTTTAAAAACCATCTATCATTTTCCTTCTACTTCACAATTATGTGCCACTTTGTGTTGGTCTATCACATAAAATACATTTACGTGTGTGTGCGTGTGCGTGTACACATCCCTCATAGTGTTAGTTTGTATAGATATAGTTTGTGTTTTTTTTGTGTATAGGTCAATTTAGTTGTCACACACTGTAGCTGGTGTGGTTAAAATTGTTGTTAGGTATAAGCATAACTTGCACACTGTAATCAGTGATGTGGTGTTCTGCCAGCTAGGACTGTACAGCGTGATCAGCTGCAGCTAGGCCGATCGCTCGCTCTCTGCATCCAGAAGGCTTGGGAAGCTTCCGGATAATAGGTGTGGAGCTATGCAGATGGCAGCATGAATATTGATACAGGCCTGGCTCTGAAGACATGATGGGTATATATTCTGTGAGCACACGGGGATCTAGCTCTAGGTCTTTCCTGTATAGGACTGTTCCAGCCTGGAGAGGGCAGGCTGCCCTCCTAGGCAAGGCTGCTGGATCTACTGCCTTAGGCCTCAGGTGGGCCTCCTGAGGGCCTGAATGCTGAGAACAGGGTTCTGCTAAAGATGACAGAAGGGCCGGCTACTGAAGATCTGGTCTCACAGAGGAAGGAAATCAGCTGCTCTTGGGCACTGTGAATACAGACACCTCTAAAGGATCTTAGAGACTGTGTGCTACTTAACCCCCTCTGGTGCTAGGGAAGTCAGCTGCAGGTCTAGTTAAATGGGACACCAGCTGGTGTTCCAAAGTGTCCTTATCCACCTAATCTCTGACCTAAAAGGACTCTGCTGTAGTTTGCTGCAGCTACTGCTGCTGTTGCCTTGAACCTGAAATCTACTATTTGTTTCAAGCATGAACTTCATCATAGCTTATCCAAAAGAATACCTAAAGTCCTCAACTGTACATAGTTTGTTTTGGAGTATCCCACCAAATTTTCCATCCCTATCCAAGATCAAAAGACACCCCTAGACTGGTTATTGAAGAAATGTGTGAATGAGCCTTTAATGTCTGGCTGCAGGGCAAAGCTTTTGGGAAAACCTGGACAGTATTCCTGCTGCTCCTATGGGAGTAGCGCTATATACTGTATAATATATACACAGATCTATTATGACAGATCAAACAGCAATGATGTGCAGTAAAGTAGAGAAACTAATTTGATTCTGTGTACTATGGTACTTTCTGCTGTTCTTTTTGACATCTTTCTGATGCTTATTGATTTAAAGCACAACTCCAGTGAGATTAAAAAATAAACCGTCTGTCAGAGAAAAAACAAGACTGTTCTCTTGCAATAAAATATTTCTCTAAGACCAACATATAGGCTTTCACTGCTTTTTTGCAAAAAAAAAAAAAAAAAAAAAAAAATCACATATCTGGGATGGACATAACTACAGTATTTCAAACAAAGTTCCATTTGACATTTGACAGTAAGCCAATACTATATTTGTAGATATATTTTTTTATTGGCCACTATGGTTCCTATTACTTTCCATAGTAAATAAAAACTATAACTGAGTTTATTTACTTTTTACCTTTATTGCTTGAAGCAGAGATTTTCCATGATGTTTTCTGTACTCTTTTCGTATATCAAGCATATCAATTTCACTTCGGGAAACCATCACTCGGATCAAGGTGTCATCATCAGTTCCAGCTCCCTGTGCAGATAGTAAATATCAAAGAAACGCTATTAAGGGCCAGCAATAAAGCTATGTTATATTATTGTTAAGAAATAAGTCTTATATTTGCTGGATGGCTCTGAAAAAGTAACACTCCCTCTCAATCAGGGCCGTCTTTAGACATCATGTTGTCCTAGGTACAACTGCATATCATGTTGTCCTAGGTACAAATGCATAACATGTACATTATGTACAAGGTCTGTCAGCCATGTTAAAAAATAAATGCTAGGATGTACTATGGAGGCCTTCTCCTTACAGTTTTTTTTTAAATGTTTTATGATGATTCTGAGGCTTGGTGCTGTCTCCTCTAACTCTGCTGCCCCAGGCACAGGTTCACTGTAGTCAGTACGAAAAATAGACCACCGCTTCCTTTGACTAGACCAACTCTAGAGTTGAAAAGGATGCTGCTGACTTTATAATCTCAGAACCTCCTAAAGATCCACCAATGGCAGTCAGACATTCTAGGCATAAGGCTTTGATTCTCATACGAGTCAGACAAAGGTTCTGATGCCCACAGACCAGACATCATGCTTCTATCTGTATCCAGCTGAATACTAACCAGAATTTCTATCCAGACCTATTTTTTTTTTTTTAACTTTCAGGTAACTAATGATTTAATGCTGCTTTCCTAACGGCTTATATTCAACTTCCCTTTACCCCTCTCTGTTCTTTTCAGCAGTCTGTTTTTGAAAGAAAAAAACACGACTGAGTCAATTGCCATGAACCAGCACTGTCATGTGGGAGAAAGGGGAGCGAGTCATACAAGGGTTGAACAAAAAAATGGAAACAAATAATGAAAACTTTGCCACAGGCAAAACCAAAAATAAGGGAACACATGGATGGGATTAAGGCTGCTGCAGTCTTCGAAATGTGTCTAACTTCCACACTTGTGAACCCTATAAAATGTGTATATAGGCCGCGCTGCGAAAAATGTAAAATCAAGGTTACTAAAGTTTCCTAAATGTAAAAGTGCAAAAAACAGATAAACACCACCAGAAAATACAACCAATGTCCAATGTATCAGTCGCATTCAAATAATAGTTGCTTGAAAAACCAAAAGATAGGTGAACAGATGCTGGTGCCATTAGTAACAGATAAAACACGTGACCACTTCCAGGTGCTCCAGGTGACCCCACATGGATTAGCATTTACCACAATGGATGGACCTTCTATTACTAGATAGGTCTCACTGAATTTTTTTGGTTGGAACCACTGTTTATCTTGTCACCAACTTGACCATTCACATGTACCAGGATGAGATTTCTTCCAATGCAGTAAACAACCACTCATAAAACCGTATCAGGAAAAAAAGGTTAATTGCACAAAGCAGCTGACTTTATTAAACCATATAAAACTTCACAATTAGACCACCAAAGGACCAGCACCAGGTACACACAGCGCCTACGCTTCAAATGGCAGCCGCCACCCTGAGACCAGAAGCTGGTTTATGCTCCAGGGATGGAATGTGATGTATCAGGTGGGGAACATTGCTTCAAACAGGCACCAGCTAAGCAGGCACCAACAATTTGCCCTCTAAGCTCTGACATGATACTGCATTACTAGTAGCGCACGCAGTGAATGATAAAAGTGATGCTTCCCACCTGTTAGCTAGGTGTCTCATCACAAAGCGGAAGCAAAATAATGTTACATCACTTTCAACATGAAACATGTCGTCACTTTCACACCTGCAAACCGTGTAATGTTTCCAATTTTTTTTCTAACCCCTGTACGTGCCTAATACCAGGACAGTGTTCGGTATTTGTCTCCTGGCAGTCCATTCGAGTAGTGGGAGTGTACACAGAAAATTGCTAGGAAGGGGGGGGGAATGTATATAAAAAAAGCTAACTGGATCAGTGCAACATAACACAGGATAGCAAAAAATTATTCAGTGGTGTTTAATGCAGCCATGCTACATAGACAGGAAAAACATGCAAAAAACAAAATAAATCTACTTACTTTCATTGCCTTGTACAGAGTTTCGGCAAAATATCCAGGGACGCTTCGAACATTCTTCACTTAAAAACATATATAAGAAATTAAATTAAATGTCAAGAGCTATCAGAATAAACACTTATTTATTTAAACTCTTAAATATTACCATTTTCCTATCCTCAGGGAGATCTTACTTTGAAAATACATGGAGGAGAGCAGTGTGTGCAGGGAAGGTGGCATGGAGGGGAGCAGTGTGCGCAGGGAGGGTGGCATGGAGGGGAGCAGTGTGCGCAGGGAGGGGTGGCATGGAGGGGAAGTGCATTCAGGGAAGGGGTGGACAGTGTGCACAGGGAGGGGAAGTGCGTTCAGTGAAGTGGTGGACAGTGCACGCAGGGAGAGTGGCATGGAGATGAAGGGCATTCAGGGAAGGGGTGAACAGTGTGCGCAGGGGAAGGTGGCATGGTGGGGAAGTGCATTCAGGGAAGGGGTGGACAGTGTGCACAGGGGAGGGTGGCATGGAGGAGAAGTGTGTCCAGGGAAGGGGTGGACTGTGTGTGCAGGGAGGGTGGCATGGAGGAGAAGTGTGTTCAGGGAAGGGGTGGACAGCTTGTGCAGGGAGGGTGGCATGGAGGGGAACAGTGTTCAGGGAAGGGGGCAGTGTGCACAGTCAGTGAATCTAACGTGGAATTTAAAGTGGAACTAAAAATTGAAAAGAAAAAAAAAATACGAATGGGCAGACATGCCATGCCACTTCTGCAATAAAAAAAACAAAACAAAAAAAAAAAAAAAAAAAAGACAAAACACTCACCTGCCTTTTCACAATTCCCTTTATAATGTACACTGAGCTGCACATAGGTGCTGCACCAGGATGACTGCATTCCTGTGCAAGCGTGACAACATCCCACAGCAGCCAATCAAGACAAGCAAAGATTCTTGCCCAAAAGAAGCCAGGAGAAGATGCAGACAGACACAACACAGGCATCAGACTGTTGGAACGAAGGTGCATTTTTGTCTTTAGTTCGGGCCAATTCCCAGGCTGTGTTTGTTATTTCTAATCAGACTGTATAAGCCCACCCAATATTCAGCATAATTTAATAGAAAAAAAGAAAAAAATGGCGCAAGAGATTTGTATAGTGTGGCCAAGTAATGGTCCAGCGGAGAAAACTGTGGGTGCGTGTACAGTTGCAAAAAATTCATGTAAGGAGAAATATTAACAATCTTGATACATTTGTGGCAGCATCTCAGAATAGACTGAAGAATGTTCTGTAGTGATAAAAAAGGAACACCAGAGGACACCTAAGTGTAGCATTAGAAAGACTTTAAAGCCTGTTGCACATGGGGGTAAATAATGCTAAGTTTTTTACTGGTCTGAAGTGAACTGCATTGTTGTCTATGGGACATGACACACAGCTGAGTAAAGATCAGTAATACAGCATTGAGTACGAAGCAGTAAAACAAAACAAATTTTTTCATTTGAGTGCATCAATTTACTCGCGTGTTTATTCATCTACAAGCATGTGTATGGAAGTAAAATTGAGTATATTACAATACTGGCAATGAAGAATTTTACTTGTCTATATGCTTACGCACCTTTACTCGTCTATAATCATTACTCAGGTTTTGCACACAGGCGTGTCACATTCCCGAGTAACCATCAATAAATTACAACATCAGTGTGCAAGGGGCTTAATTATAAAAAGACAACAAACAACTTACAAAGCTGGCAAAATATGGAATGAAGTGATCTGCCGTCCATCCATATGGGATCTGTACCGGGATATGCATATGACAGGGGCCATATTTTGCAAACTTTGTGGGTTGTCTTAACATTAAAGTCTAATACTACACTTAGTCATTCTCAGGTATTCCTTTCTTAAAGCAGAGCTCCACCCAAAAAGGGTACGTTCCACTTTAAGGACTGCTCCCACGCTCCCCATTAAGGATTGGCACCTTTGGGGGCGGGGGGAGGAGCGGGTACCCAAATTTTACAGGTACCCGCTCCCACTTACGGTCCCGATCACCTAGGCGATTGGAAACGGAAGGTGTCCTCCCTCCCTCCCTGTAGTCTTTTGGGACATGTGACAGGTCCCAGAAGACTACAGGACCATTCTTGAAGCACATGCACAGTGGGTCACAGCCGGGTGCCCACACTGAAGATGCCAGCTTCCTGAAATACATGACGGCCGGTGAAATGGGCTGTGGGGGAAACACACCGCAAGACCGAGGGACAGGCAAATGACTGTTTTTTTTAAAGTCAGCAGCTACAGTTTTTGTAGCTGCTGACTTATTTTTTGACAGGGTGAGTGGAACTCAGCTTTAACATAATTTAACAGAATCTCTGCACACACAGAAAAGGATTCAATTTCCACAGTGTTACTACTTACATATCTTTGCCTGCACTTTGAGAGCATAGCAGGATGCACAAAGTAAGTCCATTCTGATTTATACAGTAGTCATTTCCATTAGCAATACAAAATTAGTTGCATTTACATCCTGGTAATAGACTACTGCAAACAGTTCATTATTTTTGAACACGCAATAGCAAACCTTTATTTTTAGTATATTCCCTATACAGAAATGTAATAATAATAATAATGTTGCACCCTGGTTTCCTAGGTTATTGTGGAACATGGCGTCAAAGTAAAGCTTTCACTACACCTGTAATTATTGGGTTGCCCTACTTTTAACCTGCATTTTATGCAGAAGGAGTAGAGTGAATGGATCAAAGTCTTACCTATGGCAAGCAACAACTTTTCAAGGTTGCCTGATGTCTCCCGACCAATGCTCTCTTCAATTTGGTAGCCAGAGATGGTCATGTATTTATCAAACACTAAAATGTCAAAAAAAAGATGCCAAGAATCAGCACCAAATCCCAGGTAGTAAAGTAAGTGAAACTTATGTATGTCTTTAAGCAGACCTTAGTTTCAGGCAAGCAGCGAACTACATAACTGAAAGAGAAAAATTTGACAACCAGTCTTGAATTCAAGTGCTCCACCTCTATTATAGCATTACCAGCACAGCCTGGTCAACAATATACCCCCAGCCTGTCGCTTGTTTAATGAAGAAGTAGAAGCACACTAACGAGGCACGCTCTCTGCTCTGTCCACATTCCCCTATTGTCAGCATGTTCATTTATACATAACTGCAGTATTTTTATAATACCTGTCGGAAGCTCAGCTTCAAGTCTCCAGTCAATTATCCGATTTTCTCTTCAATATATCCAGGTAATTTTTCTCTTTATTTTTACATTGATAGAACTTCTCATAAGCAACCTGGGATTTAGTAGCTAAATTTGTACAAAACTCAGCCCCCTCAACTTACTAGTTGAACCCTTTTTTCTTTAGGGAAATTGCAAGCACAAAAACAAACCCATCATACACAAAGGTTGCAAAACTAGTCAGGCCAGTAGAGGGGCTTTATAAACTGCTAAGAGCTATTGAAACAAAGACAACTAAAATAATGAGTTAAAAAGATAAAAGAATACAAATTAGAATTTAGCAAAAAAAGTCAATGCTAGAAATATTGCAATGTAAAATATGTAAAATTTGAGGAGTCCTTGTTTGTGGAACCTCTTAACTGCTACATGCAGTACTTTAAAACAGTGTTTTCATTATGAAAGCTTATAGTGCTAACCCTTAATAATATAAATTCTTTTTTTTCCACAAGAAAATGAAAAAGTCATGTCTGAGGCCTTTAATCATTTCCATCTGTGAAAGTATTAACACTTTCCAACTACCATAAGCTTTTACTGATCGTCCTGAGAGAACATGAACTCGGACATTTTTTTAATGTTGACTTCTAAGCAGAAAAAAAAAAACAGGAGACTGAAACGCTAACCTTCGAGTGTGACTGTAGAGGCCAGGTTTGTGATTTAATAACCGTACATTGGAGCAGAAGTCCCAATTACTTGACAGCACTAAGGTTAGCGTATTCCCCTTTTGAAGTCAGGGTGAATAATCCTGGATATTTTTTTCTATTTCTTACTGTGGGTGGATACATGATTCACTGTCTAATGACTACAATGACTCAACTATGTCAAATATATTTATACACAATGCTGACAAATTATACTTTTGCATTCTGTACGGAAATAAATGTGGGAAGGCTTGGCTAAGCCTGTCAAAATTAAAGTTTACATACGTGGCAAATTCAGGCCTCTATTAAAAAAGACAAAAGGACACTGGGTAAAGATATAAAAGGTGTATAAAGTGTCATATCAGTCACAAGTCACTTGAGGACAACATATAAGAAATAAATGAAAAGAGAAGGACTATTGAGTTGAGTCAATTTTGTTTTAATTTTTGTTAATGTTCATATGTATTTAAAAATGATTTATTAGATGCTATAGAGTGAAAACATCAAAACCTAAAAACATAAATGATATTACATCTTACCAGTCCTTAGATTTTTTTCAGGCTTTTCTCCCATAATTTTCATCTGGCAATGCTGAAAATAACAGTTTCTGTCCCTGTCACTCATCTCTTCACTGTATCTTTTGAGCGAACCATGGTTGTCAAACAGGCCCGACTTTAAACATTTCCTCCTTTCTACATCTCAATTATATGGGGGTAGTGGAATTAGTAATTTATACAATAAAGAGAAAGATTTTTGTGCTCTCTTTTCAGCTCAAAGCAGTGACAAGAACACCATCTCTAGCAAGACTGACAGGTATTCTCTGTATGTGATGAAAATATTCTTGATTAGCCTGAAAAATTACAAATCTAATGCACTGCCACTTTTACAGATCACATTTTTGTTTTTAGGTTTGAAACCCGCAACATTTTCTTTAGTTTCTTGGGTATTTGTTTGCTTGAACCACTTTCAACCAACAAATACAATTGACCAGATCAAGGCAACAAACACCAATACCATTCCTGTTGTATATGCAAAACTGGATGAAAGTATTTTAAAGCTGAAATCCTAGGATTCACAAAATTATTAAAGTGTCCCTCCTCCCAGGAAAAATGATTGAATGCTTGTTTTTCCTAGGAGATGAGATTACGGTAATATTTTTCTAGAGGCCCATGACACTTCGTAGTCTGGTCTACTTCTGTCCAGTGCTGGAGCACTCCCAAAGACCACTATATGTAGTATCCTTAAAAATGAGCATGTGTTGCTGTTAATATTGCTAAAGGGACTAATGCTGACCATACACAGTTTAAATTTTCCTGCTAAATCTTCCAAAATTCAAGCTGTGGGTGCTGCTGGCACCAACTGAAACATACGCTGAAAATCAAAAAAGCTGTGTGTAAAACTCCTCGTCGAACAGTGACTGTTCAGGTATTCCAACAATCGCGAGAGTAACAGCTGCCAGAATACAATAGTGGGAAGTACCCTGTTTCGAGTGGAAGGGGGAGTCTATCGATTTTTCTCATTTAGCCAGTAGGACTGAATGAGAAAATATCGATTTTTCTCATTTAGCCAGTAGGACTGAATGAGAAAATATCGATTATTCTCATTTAGCCAGTAGGACTGAATGAGAAAAATCTTAAGACGTATGGCTAGCCTAAGTTAAGAAGCTCATGAAAGATTGTACATTCAAAAAATTTGGCTTTTTCTATTTCATTAATGCTAATCAGTCAGTCCTTACATACAGCAGTTGTGTTTCCTCTTTGTATAAGTCTGAGAACAGCCATCCACTGATATATCTATAGATTTCTTGGGTAATACAGAAACTTCTAAAATCAACCCAAGCAAAGTGACTCCCATGGGATTTTAATAAACAAAGATTAAGAATATGACGGGACTTCAAGTAATCTGACTATCCAATGTGCACATAGTGGAACCGCTGAGGAGGAGTACTTTAAACAAATTGAGCAGAGCTCAGAAGGCTTCCTAAATGGCTCTCTACATTTGCCCTAAAGCTTTGATTGTTTAGAACATTCAGAACTATGAATTACAATATCTGATTCACGATAACGATTACTGAACAAATCTGTAAATCTTTCTAAGAGACACTCTTCCAGCAGGTTATTTAATAAAGCAACCCGTGGAGACTAATTAGAATTCATATTTCATTGATCTGGCTACAGTAAACTACTTTGAGATAGTTGTATGGGTTACATCACTTTGCAAATCATTATTGCACTTTGCATTTGCCTTATTAAATAAGACCATTTAGACCCTTCATGTAAATTTGATATGTGAGACTACTCATGCAGTGAAGCCAGATTGCTTCCAGGAATTTCAGAAAATAACTAACCAGGATGACACATGAAAAACATTTGCATAGCTACAGAAATTCAAATGACACCACAGAAAGAAAAAAAAAAAAAGAAATGTGATTCATTTGCAAAGCTAATGTTTCATTCCAGGTGCAACCAAAGTCGTTGTAAATGACGGAGTCCATACAAAGGCCATTCATTTAACAATGATTTACCTTTTCTTAAATGAACATTGCTGCGAGTTCCCAAAATGGTAATGAACTTCTCTTCATCTGTGCCCCATTTCATTTCCCCAGCTTTAAATAAATCCTACCAGAATGAAAACAACATTATATAGGTTTGAATTTCAAAAAGCAGAAACACACAACCAGCAAAACACAAAAATTATCCCTTCAAGGCATGACTGAAACATTCATGTCAGTGTCTCATCAACCACAGAGCGCATAGAAAGCAACATGAAAAATGCACTGACCTGGGCATCCTGCTCAACAAGACCGTCATTTACTTTAGAGTCTGGGTCCCTATTAGCCTGCAAAAACCGCAGAAAAAAAATGCCTTATGTTTAGAACTGTGATATCCAAATATATGCAGATATGGCAAGCACACATTAATCCACACCATTTAACTTTTTTTGCTATATGCATACAGTGCCTTGAAAAAAGTATTCATACCCCTTACATGTCCTATAGCAGTTTTACTGCTACAGGGCGGCCATTCTGTGCAAAATCACATATACAGTGCCTTGAAAAACTATTCATACCCCTTGAAATTTTCCACATTTTGTCATGTTACAACAAAAAAAAAAACGTAAATATATTTTATTGGGATTTTATGTGATAGACCAACACAAAGTGGCACATAATTGTGAAGTGGAAGGAAAACGATAAATGGTTTTTAAAATTTTATACAAATAAATATCTGAAAAGTGTGGCATGCAATTGTATTCACCCCCCCCCCCCCCCTGAGCGAATACTTTGTAGAACCATCTTTAGCTGCAATTACAGCTGCAAGTCTTTGGAGAGGTCTCCAGCAGCTTTGCCCATCTAGAGAGTGAAATTTTTGCTCATTCTTCTTTGCAAAATAGCTCAAGCTCTGTCAGATTGGATGGAGAGCGTCTGAACAGTAATTTTCAACTCTTGCCACAAATTCTCAATTGGATTTAGGTCTGGAATTTTACTGGGTCATTCTAACACATGAATATGCTTTGATCTAAGTCCTCATGCACACTGGATGTTTTTACAGCTGCGGTTTTTGGCTTTTGACGCTTTTTTTCAACAACTAGTAAACTCCCCAGCATGTTATCCTATGTGTCCATGCACACAGACTGTAATCAATGTTTTTTGGCAGGGGAGTTTTTTGGCTGGAAAAAAAAAAAAAAACCCAGAACTAGTGGGTTTCTAGAGTTTATTTTTTAGCTGCAACTCATGGTAAACCAGTGTTTTTGGTCTTTTTGACCCCCCCCCCCCCCATTTTTTTTTACACCCCAAAAAACACTCAAAAATGCAAAAAAAACACTCAAAAATGTAAAAAACGCAAAAAAAGAAGTGGCAAAACACAGCTAAACGCCAATACAAAAATGCTGAAGAACTCACGTTTTTAATGCGACTTTACACAGCTAACATTACCACCATTATTAAAATGCCCAGTGTGCATGGAGCCTAAACCATTCCATTGTAGCTCTAGCTGTATGTTTAGGGTCGTTGTCCTGCTGGAAGGTGAACCTCCGCCCCAGTCTCAAGTCTTTTGCAGACTAACAGATTTTCTTCTAAGACTGCTATGTATTTGGCTCCAGTCATCTTCCCATCAACTCTGACCAGCTTCCCTGTCGAAGAAAAAAACATCCCCACAGCATGATGCTGCCACCATGTTTTACGGTGGGGATGGTGTGTTCAGGATGATGTGCAGTGTTTGTTTTCCATCACACATAGCATTTTGATTTTAGGCTAAAAAGTTAAAATTTGCACTCATCTGACCAGAGCACCTTCTTCCACATTTGCTGTATCCCCCACATGGCTTCTCACAAACTGCAAATGGGACTTCTTATGGCTTTCTTGTCACTCCTCCAGATTCTCCCACCTAAGCTGTGGATCTCTGTAGCTCCTCCAGAGTTACCATGGGCCCCTTGGCTGCTTCTCTGTATAATGCCCTCCTTGCCCGGACTGTCAGTTTAGGTGGACGGTCATGTCTTGATAGGTTTGCAGTTGTGCCATTCATTTTCAGATGATGGATTGAACAGTGCTCTGTGAGATGTTCAAAGCTTGGGATTTTTTTTTTTTTTTTTTAATAACCAAACTCTTCTTTATATTTCTCCACAACTTTATCCGTAACATGTCTGGTATGTTCCTTGGCCTTCATGATGCTGCTTGTTCACTAATGTTCTCTAACAAATGAGGGCTTCACAGAACAGCTGTATATATACTGAGATTAAATTACACACAGGTGGACTCTTACCAATTAGGTAACTTCTGAAGGCAATTGGTTCCACTAGATATTAGTTAGGGGTATCAGAGTAAAGGGGGCAGAATACAAATGTACACCACACTTTTCAGATATTTTTTAAAAAAATTGAAAACCATTCCTTCCACTTAAAAAAAAAAACTGTGTTGGTCCATCACATAAAATACATTTACATTTTTGGTTGGAAAATTTCAAGGGGTATGAACACTTTTTCATGGCACTGTATATCTACACACTTGGTATATACTGTAATATGTTCATTTTTAAAAAATTGCTTTCTATGCTAGAAAAATAAACTCCAATAGTCCAGCACAATAAATGCATAAAACTGTCTGGAATATAGGATTATGCCTTTTTATAAGACAACGGAACTAAACGGAATTCAGGTATAAAAATCATAAGGAATTCTGTCTTTGTAAGTTATTTCCCTGAAGCACGAACCACCCAAATATAAAATATATAGTCACACTTTTTATATTATTGTGAGCTTGCAGGGAACCCAACCCCACACACAGCGACCTCACAGTTGTTATATTATATACACAGATTCTTTGCCCCCATATACAGAATTATTCAAAAAGATGGCTCAGATTTCAACTTTTTATCTCAAACAAACTGTAAGGGATAGAAGCAGATTCTGCACATCACTGGATAGAGCAAGGTTCAAAGTTTTATGGTCCTTGAGGGTGTATGCGCTCAACATAAGCGCCATGTGTTGAGAAACAAAAATCAAAATGGTAGAGCATTTCTTGCCACACACAAATCAACTGGTCGCTAGTTTATTAAAACCACAGCTTCAACAACTCTACATCTCAGATCTTGAAGAGTAGCAGACATAGGTGGGACAAACACCCTCTCTTATGCATCTCTACAGATATAAATCACACAGGTAAGGTTTGGTGACCTTGGAGGCCATAGGCAATGAACAAGATCTTATTGTCCACCTCGTGCAAAACATCATCCAGGTATGGTGCCTTTCAGATAATGCCGGACTCCCAAGTGGATGCAAGGCAGTGCACCATCTTGCATGAAAATGAAGTAATTAAAATTTTCTTGAGGTTTGAAATCCACCAGAATCTATTACACCACTCAAATTCCTCCTGACGATGTAGTAGTGTGTTGAACAGATGATGGAATTCACGTTGCACATGAACAATGGATTCACACGTCGCAAACTGCAGCACACAAAAGGAGTTCTCCTGTGGCGTTGCCATTTTCCTATAAACAAGAACCAGCGTTGCTGTGTGGCATTGAATGAACTTTTAAGCGGGCTTTTAACTTTGAACCTTCCTCTATTCAGTGATGTGCAAAATGTGCTATCCCTTACAATTTTTTTTTTGTTATACGCACAACTCTAAGGTCCTTTTTCTGTTTTGTGTCATTGTTATATTATGACAGGCATTACTACTGCGGCTGATTACAGTGCTTATCTATGCAACTACAAAAAGCTAAAATGAGAGCAATTCAGTGAGCTCCTACTAATAATGGCTACAAAACTGATCTTCTGACAGTACCCTCTGAGGGACACATACCACAGATTTACAACCTAGTTTTATAATTGTGCAATTTTCTTAGAGCAACATGCTTTCTATCTTGTACTATTGGACTATTACTACCATTAAAGCAACGGATACACTTATTTACAACTGATAATAATACTCACTTGAACAAGGACTACCAACATCCTCTGGAAATATCCAGACGTATCTCCAGTGATGCTGTCTTCCAACTCACATCCATATTCTAAAGCAGAAAGCAGCATATTGCAGGATAGATTATTAGATTAACAATATTATATATTTAGAATCTTTATATGAAAATACATGTATACTACAATTCACTACAACCATTTAAAGAGAATGTCATTTTTTTCTTAGATAACAGCATTTCTTGTAAGAATAATACTCCACCCGCTAAAACGCAACTTTGCTGCACTGTACTCGTTGCTCTGTCTGAAAATAACCTGTTCTTTCGGATATGAGACAGGATGTGATCTACTCCCAGGATACCATGATTGGGCTTGGGCAGCCAGCTTGTAAAGCACTAACATTACCACTTGACAATGAACAAGAATAAACCTGTGTTAGCTCAAACACCATCATAGAGCTTACACAGGGTTAGGACTCCCAAATCCGGTGGAGAGACAGAATGGAGGGGGAGTGCAGGTAGATGAGCATCAGAGGGTGGGGTGTTTTAAATGAGAATCTGTCACTTTGCCCTGAATTAGTCTATTTAGTGCTTAAAAGCAATTTTTACTCAAGGAAATACTTGGACATGCAGCAATGGACTAGTTTTAGTAACACATTTCCCCCCGTTTGTCAATGTTGAATTTAGAGCTACAGGGCAACATTTAATTCAGTAGTTGCAGCCCCATGGAAGAAAAATCTACAGTGTCCTGGCACAAAAGCTACAGTTTATCTACAAACCCTTACACAAGGAGCTATGTTCATTTTAAAGATTTTAGTTAACTTTACTGGCAACATTTCACATTTTCTATTCTGAGATATTGATGGAGCTCTTATGACCTCTCTCAAATTGACTGCTACATGCCATTTATTGGAATTAGAGTACATTTAAAACCTTTACATAATTGAGGTTTGTATTATTTTTTGCAAAAAGTATACTCTAAAATTATGTTTTCATTTATGTGTTGCCTAGTAAACCTTTGTGGCTTTGTTTTGGAGTATGTTTGATTTGTGTTGGGATGCTCTGGGTGGCATTTCCCAACACAGACCCAATGCAAAGACAAGGCAATTTGCCTTGATTCCTGTGGTGCAAGTTCATAGCACTGCGTTGCGATAGTGTGCACTGAATAAAAGTAATGCATGCAGTACTTTTTTCCAGTGCAACAGGCTGTGGCAGAAAGCACCTCACACCAACACCACTGTGTGAATAAAACTTAATGAAATGCCACTTATGACATTTCAATAAAGTGCCAACAGAAAAATAAAACATTTTTAAAAAGGAAAAAAAACAGCGTAAGGCGCCACAACCGGTGCTTCAGCATGGTCTCTCCCAGCACACACCAGCAGCTGTGCCTGTGGTGTGAATCAGTCCTTAAAGATAATGAAAACTTTTGAAGGAAGAGAAAACAACTAGACTGAAAAACAGTATATGCCAATACAAAAAACTGAACACAAAAGCTTTTTTTCATGAATATACACCATTGGCTATAACGCCATAACCAGCCACCACCATAACCTGTCAAGGCATGGACTTCTGAAAGTATGCTGTGGTATCTGGCACAAAGCCATCAGTAGTAGAGCCTTTAAGTTGCATAGTGGGGCCTCCAAGGATCTGACTTGTTTTTCCAGCATATCCCACAGATGCTTGATTTGATTGAGATGTGAGGAATTTGAAAAACAAATCAACACTTCAAACTCATTTCTTTGTTCCTCAAACCATTCTTGAATTCATCAGACCAGACCATGTTCTACTATTGCTCCTTGGTCCAATTCTGATGTTCACGTGCCCATTTATAGGTGCTTTTGGCTGTGGACATAGGTCAGCATAGGCACCCTAAACTGGTCTGCAGCTACACATACCCATACATGACAAACTGCAATGCACTGTGTTCTGACAACTTTCTATTGGGACCAGAAGTGGCTTTTTCAGCAATTTGAGCTACAGTAGCTCTTACTAGATCAGACTACATGGGAACCTTCGGTCCCCATGTGCATCAATAAGCCTTGGCCACCCAAGAACCTGCTGCTGGTTTACCAGTTTTCCTTTCATGGACCACTTTTGGTAGGACCTAACCACTGCAGGCCAGGAACATGCCACAAGAACTGCAGTTTCAGTAATTCTCTGACCCAGATGTCCACCCATTACAATTTGGCCCTTGTCAAAGTCACTCAAATCCACTTTCAACACAACTTCAGGGACAACATGTTCACTTACTGCCTAATATGTCTTACCCACTTTCAGGTGTCATAACAAAATCAATGTTATTCATTTTACCTCTCATTGTTCATAATGTTATTATCAGTGCATGTTTCAATGTGTTGACTTATACTAGAACCATGGTTAAAAGAAATCAGTCAGGGCGCAAACATGAAGTTTGACCACTTTTTCTGGCATCATTTATTTTATATGGCACCAAAACGAACATCCTCAGGGGATCACATTGATACTTCATTTTAACACATCACAACGCACAAAATGTGAACCATGAGTTGTGTGCTGCATTGGAAAAAAAAAGCGCAGATTCATTGAAACTGATGTCATGTGCATTGACAGATCATTCAAGGTTATTGGGCTGTCTTAGCGCAAAGCACAGTAACATGCACTTGGTAACACTGCAAAGGCAAGAATTCAGCCTTTAAGACCTGACATAATACTAAGCCTTGCCCTGCTACTCCAAACATGAACAAAGGGTTTTGGTAAAATGTTGGTTTGTTCAACTTTCAAGATAAGGTTACTTTATTCACCAGTTGCAAAGACTGTATGCAGAATAAAAATTTACAAATCAATTTAACAGCTCATCTTGATAATAGAAAACATCAGCACAGTTTAATCCTTTTGTGTATACCTTCTTTGAAGACTTTTTTAATGTGACAGATTTCAGGTGCAGATCTAGAAGCAAGAATTTCAATGAGCACATTTTCCTTAGTGCCAGCACCCTGGAAAACAAGCAGATATTGCCATGTACATAGATCTCAAGGTCATGCGACTTGTCACAAGAGCAGCTACTCAATCCTGTCAGCATCATTTTTTATATATTTTTTGCCTTGTGCTGGTCAGTCTCTTGTCCATGTATTTTCTATAAGAGAAATTACAAAGCAGCATGTATTGCTCAAAAAGCTATTAAGTCCTTAACCACTTCAATTACGGACACTTATAACCCCTTCCTGTCCAGGCCAATTTTCAGCTTTCAGTGCTGTCGCACTTTGAATGAAAACTGCGTGGTCATGCAACACTGTACCCATATGAAATTTTTATAATTTTTTTTCAAACAAATAGAGCTCTCTTTTGGTAGTAGTATTTAAATCACCACTGAGTTTATTTTTTGCTAAAAAAAACAAAAAACACCTGAAACTTGGGGGGAAAAAAAAAAACGCACTTTTCTTTGTTTCTGTTATAAAATTTTGCAAATATATAACATTTCTTCATAAATTTAGGTCAAAATGTATTCTGCTACGTTTCTTTGGTGAAAATAATTGAATTTGTATTTTTTTTTCAAATGTTTTTATTTTTTTTTTTTTTCACTATTTTATTTTTCAACACACTGATCAAAGCAATACAATTTTACCATAGTAACATTGAACTACTCTGGGCAAGTGATCAGGATTTTTTTTTTTTTTTTTTTTAACACATTATGATTGCTAACATTAATGTATTACATTGATATTTGCAATCATTGTTACTGAATGAAACTGATTCAGATTCATTCAGTCTTTTGTGATTAGCTGTGATTGGGCAAAGCTGATCACATGATACAGATGGGCTGGGATTGGCCCTGTCTGTATCATGTGTTTGCCTTGACCAGTCACAGCTAACAGCATAATTGTATACAATGTATGGCATGACAGGAAGCCATCCATTGTATACAATTGACATATAATCTGCTGTGATTAGTCACAACAGTCACATGACACTGGCAATGGGCAGATGTAGTGATATGTCATCGGCTGCGTCCTGTGGACACAGCCGGTGACAGATCGCGTGGCCGCGTGAACGGCTCGTTTTGACAGGACATCATATGACGCCAAGTCACAATGGTGAGTGTCCCGCCAGCCGTCAATCTGCTATAGGCCGGGCGGGGGGAAGGTGTTAAACTAAGCAAAATGCAATATTAATGAAGAAAGCTGGGTCCTTGATATGTTGCCAAGTATTATGTGATTTGATTGAACTGACAGTTCTATTTCTCACTCTCTCAACATACAAATATTTATATTCATAAACACAAATAAACATACCTTCATTGCATGTCTAAGTTCCTGAGCATCATACATATTTGCTGGGGTCATTAGTGCCACAATCACCTTCTCCAGCTTACCCGTAAGTTCAGACTTCAAATCATCACAAAAATCCTACAATAAAAAAAATCAGAACTGATATTTCAAATGCTTCATACAAATGCTTCAGCATTGCTAATGTGGGATGCACCTAGACAGGACTAAAACTAAAAACTCACTTAAAAATATATCAACTATATAGCAATGAAATAAAAAGATTTTTTAAAAATGAAATAGCTATAATATTTAAAAAAAGATGAAAATCAGTGGCAGAGGTGAGGTTTCTATTTTCCTGGCCATTCAGTGTATATAATGACTTGGCTCATTGCTAACCTAGATTAGGCAATCTTGTATAAAAACAACTTACAGACCTACCCTGCCAAATAAGGTCTTAAATGACACAGAAATTTGCTGTCGCTGAGCATTGCTTCTGGACGTAAGAATCTTCATAATAGTGTCTTCATCAGTACCTGAAATTTAATGTTCAGAGAAGTTCAGAAAAGCCACAGTAAACCAATTATTCTTTATGACATTCTAGAACACAGGGGCATAGATAGTGGGTTGGGAGCTCATACAGCTCCCTATTAATGTCATACTTAGGGAGAAAACACTTTAAGAGTTTATTTTTTGATCAAAAGAATGCCACATTTTTGGATCTAAAGAGCGGGGAACCAAACCCAGGTATAGATATCCCTAAATCTGCTCCCATCAAACCTCAACCAAAATTGAAATGGATCATTTTTGGGTACAGGTGTTCATAAGTGGCCATTTACTGCATTGGCTATTTTGATATATACACAGGGATATAAAAACATACCAAAACCCTTCATTGCTTTGCGGAGAGCTTCTGAGTCATCATTGGCTTTGAATCCATGGAAATCCTTAATGGTTCCTCTTGTTGCCTAAAACAAAACATTGTTTGTAGCCTTACATATTTTATATGCATTATACTGCTGTGAATTTCCTCTGACAGATACACTTTATGGAACAGTTTATGAGCCTTCAGACCCCTTATTATTGCATGTGTGTACCATTTCTGAGAACCTTGTGCTCCAATGAATCAAAGATTTCTCACGCTCCTTGCCCATAAGCCTCCTGCCTGTAAGTGGGAAGGATTCATTGGGGATCCAACTCCCAAGTTGCAGAAAATTTGTATGATACAATACTTCCTGGGTGTATGACACCACAAAATCTCAACCCTAAATCACCTGCAACCTTTTTAGCACAAAAAAAAAAGATACATTTTAACAATGCTGCACTCACAGATGGGTGGTACAAAGATTGTGGTAGGCATCATAAACTCCATTGGAGCATGCACTTTCCAAGTGAACTGGTTTGGAACTCAGCAGAACTCTGGAATCTGCCAAACTCAATGAATATCATGAATCTTTTTATGCCTCAATATTCACTCATCAAAAATGGAGGGGGTGTTAAAATTCATTATGGAGAAAGTGCTTGGTGGAAAAAAAAAAAAAAAAACTTTTCTTCGAGTACTTGCATGCATGTGACCTAAACACTTTACGTCCTACATTGGCCGCAGTACATTGCAGATGGGAAGTGGTTAACTTGTACAAACATTCTTGAACAACAAAAGGCAAATTTTCTTTCTTTTGTACGATTGCTATGTTTGTTGGTTACCACCTTCTTCTGGGTCGTTCTTTGCTTCTGATCATGCATATGTTTTCTATTTGATTATTTCCATACGATACTATACACATTGGATGTTGTGTTCATGTATGATGAAAAATTTTCTAGCTTGCAGCTTAGTTTTTATTCACCTGAACAGTTGGAAAATGGTCGGAAACACTACACGCACAATCAGAAAATAAACTGCTCCTCATACGAAATTTTTCTTCCAATTTTCTTATAGTCTGTACCCAGCTTAAGGAGGTGAAAAATGCTTTCAACACATTTAACCCAAAAGGCTTCAAATGGAACCTCACTCAGAGATAAGACACCTTTCAGGTTTTTATTGCCATCTTTGTATTTACCACAGAGATTTCTACTGCTGTCTCCTAAACGCTGTAGTCATACATTAAATCCATTACAGATTAGTCATTCTAACCCCCACCAACACGATTATAAAAAAAAGCAGTTCAGTTAATTTTTTAACCCCAGTGGAGATCTTTCCAGTCACTTCCTCTTCTAGTGGTATGACAGGAAGGGAGATGAATTCTCCACTGTGGGGACACAGTGATAGGAAGGGTTAAACATCTGTCAGGTTTTTACTTTAACGAACTATACAGGAGGTACATAAGGTGGATGAAAAGGTTATGTTCACAAACTTTCTTGATTACGCTGGATATATTGAGGGGGCAAAAATGTAATGAGAGTATTCTTTAAAGGGTCACTAAACCCAGGACCCTGTATTCACTATATCTGGTCTCTCACAGTACATAGAACACGGAAGTGTAATTATTTTAGTAACTATAAACTGCTAAATACCTTTTCTGATCAGCAGTTAGAGCAGTCTTGTGACTTCTATCAGTGTTCAGCAGAGCACTGGTTAAAGCTTGTAGGAAGAGTTTTCTTTCTGCTCTAGGAGGATGCAGAACCCCAGACCTCTGTCTGGACAGTGCTGATTGGCCCTGTGCTGATCATACGCACTCTCCCAAGAGAAAAAAAAAAAAAAAAAAGGAAAAAAAACAACACCTCTCCAGCAATATACACTAAACTGAGCAGAACTGACTACAGTTCAGTCTGTCTTATCAGGAGAGAAGATGTGGACATTTGAACAAGAGGAGGAGTAGAGAAGTCAGGATCAGTCTTTTTTAGACAATGGAGAGGATTAACCACTTAGGTTTCACAGTGAGTATAACAAGCAAGCTTTACTACATATAAAGACTGATTTTACTTTTTTTTACTGGGTTTAGTAACGCTTTAAACATAGTATTTGTGCAGCAACTGTGAGTTTAGCATTACAGTCAACAAATCTGGGCATATGTGGAAAAGCAGCATCTACTTTTCCATAAGCAAGTACCCATATTTAACGTAATTGCATTAACTGCCTCTTATTTACAGAAAATCCATGCTGACTGTGCTGAATGATTACCCTACCCACCAGAGCTTACAATCTGTTATAATATAAAGCACCAAAAGGGATTTATACTAAACCAATTTTCTTCCAGGTAAAGCACAATGTACCATGTACTGCCTAAGGGCTGTTTACATGAATTCCGACTTTCAATTATGATTATATTGGCACATTAAACAGCATTTTGTGCCTCCGGCTGAGAGATCCTTAGATAGTACTTTAGCCGTTTATTGCACCATTACATATTTAATACCCTATTTAACTGAAAGAAGCAGCTCTAGATTTCTTGACATAGGATTTTGCAACACTACCTTGCAAGATGATTTCCATGGGTGGGACAGAAACGGGACACTAAGAAGGATGAATAAACTTCTAATCCTCTCGTAATGTTTACAGCCACTATGAGATTTGTAGGAAACAAACATCACTGTGTGCTTTCATGTTAAACCACAAAAAGTTCTAAGAGCACACAAATCTAATGTGACCATTATGATAAAAACAAACAATTTGAACAAGAATGATGAATTGTCTCCAGGGACTTGTAGGAAATTCATATTAAAACACATTACATGTTCAATAATTCATAGGATGCTTTTTCTCCAAGACAGCAGTAAGTCAGAACAATGTACTGCTTAAGCCAAATGTCACACAGATAAAAAAAAAAAAAAAAAAAAAAAAAAAAAAAAAAACTTTAAAAATAATTAATAATAAATAAAATAATTATCTGGGCAACACTGTTAGGAGTTTCGGTACAGCAGAGACACTGTTTATTCATCGTAAAGCTGAACTAAATTCCACATAGGGTGGTGGTCTCTTCCCTCATTCAGTGCCCCTTCCCAACCTTTGCTCCATTTCTTCTTTCAGGTCCTACTACGCTGCTACTACACCTAGGCTACTGACAACGCAAGGCTAAATTTATACTTGCATCTAAACTGACCCACCTCTGAAAATTGATCCAAACTTCAGAACACTTTTCAGAAGGTGTTTGACACACAGTGAGGAGGCAATAGGATTGCACTTCACAACCCGTTTTAACCCAGTACATGCGTTATCAACATGCCACAATTGCGGATTATCCCCAGTTGCTTAGATTATTCGCATTCGGTTGTGGTACTGCCTGCCAAATGCAGCAAGGGTGATCATTTTTGCCAAGGATGCATGTAAAGCATCACATGGCAAGGCATGTGGACACCCCCATCTGCTGCCTTTCCAGCTTGGGGGGGGGGGGGGGGGCACCAAACATTCAGCTTAATGGCACATTTTAATGCCCCCTCCCCAACAGCAAGTCTAAATGAACCCTAACTTATGCGCATAGGATTTGCATCATCTCCAGTTTTGACTGTATTCTCAGCATGTCGAGAATGAGCCTGTAGGCAGATGCAGTCTAATTTCTCCACTGCAGTTGGCGTTCATCCGCAGGGGCAATGTAGGTGGAAGAGGAAGTAGAGAGGAACCTAGTTCCTCTATGGTTTCCTCAATCACTGGTTCGCAGCTATCCAGTGGGATGCTGGAACCCCATGTGAGAGTCTGAAAGCCATCTTGGGTCAGGCAAGTCTATTTGAGAGCCCGGCTCCTTGGTTTGGTGTGCATTTTGCAAATGGCTACCTACTTACTGACATCATGCCACTGTGTCCATTCTCAGAGCAGCAGCCATCTTGGCAAGTCCAGCCGCAGATTTTTTAGTTTATTCCACGTGGTTTTTATGGTCTGATTTTAGTAATTTAGTAATAAAATACTACACTATATACTGTATTCTGGGATCCATGTGGTGAGCAATTTCTAAACAGGGTCCATCTCTGGCTGCGGTCTTACCCACTTCCCCGATCTATGGATGCCCATTGTGGCTGGAGTGTTTTACTGGCTAAAAATCATGACTTCTGGTGAGTGCATATTGGTGGAGGATTGGCAATTAGGATATTTCACGTTTGGTTTGCTGCAGTGTAAAGCAGTATCAGTGGAGACTTCTTTTGGATGTTCCCCAGTTTGGACAACATTTGAACTGTCTCACTTATTTGCACAGGAACTTTATGTTCATCTACATGGTGTTTTACCATGCTCTTTATATATTATTTTTGTGTGCTAGATTATTTATTCACTTTTTGTATACATTTTGATTTGCAGTATGTATTTCTATGTACACAAAGGAATTTTTTGATGCACTTGTTTTTAATTCATTTACTCAATTACTGTAGGTTTGTCACCATTTAGTGCCAGCTGCTCCTATCTCTATGCACTTGCTGTTCTTGCATGTTCCTTTCAACAAAGAAAAGTCTAGCTCCTTGCATCTTTTTACAGTAGGACTTTAGTTTTGCATTAAATATGAAATTAAGTTGCTCTAAAAGACAGAAGGTCTTTTACCTCAATGCTTTAAAAAGGTAAAAAAACCTTCTGCAGCTCCCCCCCCTCCCCCTTTATTTTTATCGGAGGCCAATCTAGCAAGAGCACTCTCCTCATTCAACAGAGGAACAGCAACAGGGGGGGAAGGGGGGAGAGATCAGGAGCGAGCATGCACGAGTGCCTCCATACAAGCAGCTTGATATGGGGGAACACAACAGTAGGGAATGGGCTAAGAGCGCTGGCATGGGACCGAGAAGAGGAGGATCAGGGCTGCTCTGTGCAAAATCATTGCACAGAGCAGGCAAGTATGACATTTTTTTTTATTTAAAAAAAATAGAAGGGTCTTTACAATCACTTTAAGACTACACTGGATTTCTGGCAAGGGTATTTTTGTACTTGCACAAAAACAAGGGTAGATGTGCATGTGGTGCAGAATGTGCAAAATGTTATTTTTTTTATTTTGACTAAACAAACTTTAAAAAGAATTACATGTATGTTTACATGCAGCAAAGTACCGGAATCTGTCTTCATAT